CCACCCACACACACAGACATGTAAAACATGATCATAGGAACCGCCAGTGTCTCTGTGAGTGAGTGTGCTTACGCGCCGGGCCTCTGCTGTCCCCTCAGCGACCTTCTTGGCCTCGCCACTGCCGTCGAACGATGCCTGGTGCTGCACATGCGAACGAAACAGACACGAGACACACACATGTGGATGTTTCGTGTGGATGAGATGCCAAGAGAGAGAGAGAGAGAGATGCCACACACACAATGGCAGCGAGAAGGATATCAGGCAGGACTCCACCCCTCCCTCTCTCTCTTGGGTGTGGTGTGTACCTCGTGGGTCTGAGAGCCTTGCGGGTGTGGCGTGGCGATATGGAGAGGAAAGATGATCCGAACGCCCACACAGGTCGAGTCCTCTCAAGGTATCCATCTCCCTGCACGAGGCCAACGCACCACACACCACACACAGCACAGATCTGCCACCTCTCTGTCTGTCTGTCTGTCTGTCTGTCGCTTCCCCCCTCTCTCCCTCTTTCTCCTCACTTGCACCTCTGTCGATGTTCGCCTCTGTCGATGTCCCGTCGGTTGCCGTTCTTGCGGGAGGGTAGTGTTGTCGAGGAGGTGTGAGGTGTGCCGCCTCAGCGAGAGTACTGGTGGTTGCGGCGGTGGGTGGTGCGGCGGCTGTTGGTGCGGTGGGGGGGACTCGAGACGGGAGGAGATGCAAACAGGGGTGCGCGCACAACCAACAGGGGCCGCGAAAGACCTGTTCACACACCCACCACACCACACACAGCTGGAGGCAGGACGGAGGGTCACCCACCGCACCCACTGGCATCCCTCCCTCCCTCCCCTCCCTCCCAGCACGTCAGCCTGGCTCTCCGTCCTCCACGCCAGACTTCACACGCCACCACCACGCCCTCTCTCACCCTCAGTCGACACACTCGCCTCTCTGCCCCCGTGTTATGAGTTGCGCGCCCTTCTGGCTGCGGCCCGTCACTTCTGGCCTACTGGTGCTGTGTGGGGTGCTCCTCACCTGCCTGATGGTGAGTGTGGCGGCGTCGAATGCCTTCGGAGAGGTGTTGGAGGCGAAAGGGAACGTCGGGAACGGAAGAAGGACGGTTGGGATCGTTTGGCTGCCTTGAAGCGCCCACCAAGCGCAAAAAGAAAGAAAAACAGACGAAAGAAGAGCTCCAAAGAAGGTCGCCGAAGGGTTCGGGAGATCTGTGGGGCGTTGAAGACCTTCATGGTGCGGTAGTCGAGTTCCTTTGTCGCGTCGTCGAAGCCCAGCTCCACGACTTCTCTGCATCGCAGCTTGCCACACACCATGACCGTTCCTGCAAGACAGCCGACAAACACGCACATGCCGCTGGTGCAGTGCCGCTGGTGCAGTGAGGTGCGGGGAGTGAGTGACACTTACCGAGGCAGGTGACCCTTGACGTTCGCCAGGGCCTCGGCGTCCAAAGCCTTGCACTCGTCCACAACGGCGTCCGCTACCACGTCGCAGAGTTTGTCGGGGTGGCCCAGGGTGACCGCCTCCGAGGTGACGAGGAAGCAGCCGGGCGATGGGCTGTGGGCCGCCGGCGAGGCCGACGTCAACACGTGCCCTCGAGGCTCAAGTGTCGCTCGTACATGGCACCAATCTGAACAAGACCAACACACCACACCACAGACAGCAAGAACATATGACTGACCCGCACTGAAGCCCCTCCCTCCCTCCCTCTCTCCCTCTCTGCCTCCCACATGCACGTACCTCGTGTGTGTGTGTGTGGTGAGGCTACTCGGAGTCCTGTGTGGGTGGTGAGGCTGCTCCGCGTCCGTCGGTCCTTGAGCAACCTGACTGCATGGGTGGTAAAGCATGCACAGCACGCCACAAGAAACGGATGTGCAGGGGTGTCGTGTCGGTGTCAGCCTTGAGCAAGTGGACTACTGTACCTCCCCTCGTCTCTCTCTGTTTTGTACCGTTTTTGAGTGCCATCTCTTTCCTGCCGATGTCGTACACGATGTCCATCCACATGCCCTCTAGTCTATCATCTGCAGCAGGCCTTCGTGCTTGGCGCTGCCCCTGCACACACACACGAATCAATGGCAACCTGTCTGTCTGTGTGTGCATCTTACAGCGGCCAGTGGGTAGGTATATGCGATGCGCCACGACCTGGTCAACCACACACAAGGAGCGAACCAGAGAAGCGGTACGTAAGTGTGCCGTGCAGCCATGCATGCGTGTGCGAGGAGGTTTGGTTGTCGGTTGACTCACTCACCTTGGGCATCAAGTAGTGGGAGGAGATGTGCGTCTTGACGACACGCTGACAACACACAGCAGGCAGGCAGCAGCCACACACCCATCCATTTATTTCTTTGCGTGTGTGTGTGCGCTCACCGCACCGACGATCCGTCCGCCCGGCAACAAGGGCACCGTCTGGCTGCACAAACCCTACAAACACAGCCACACGTGTACAGGACATGCGTGTGTTGATGCACACTGCACATACGTGGCTGGTGCTCATGGTCATGTTGATGGTGGTGTGGAGGTCCTCGGGGATACTGTCCAACGTGCCCTGCTTCTGCACAAAACGAGTGGCGACATCGTGTGTGTGTGTGAGGTGAGAGACTCTCTCTTCGGTCTACCTGTGTCAGGAAGCTTGACCGGTGCCGAAAGTAGCCGTGTGGCGGTAGCACCGTACTGGCCTGGGAGGAGACCGACAACTGCAAAGCAGACACACCGACGAATACACGCCGTCTTTTCCATTTGTGGGTGTCAGTCTGCTCGCCCGTCGCATCTTTCCCACGTTGCTGCTGTCCTCCTTGGCATTCCCATTGCCATTGCCATTGCCATTGGCATCGGCGGTCTCGAATGTTGCCTGCCGCTGCACCTGCTTGAACAGCACACGACACACAGGGAGCGCTGTGTGTGTGGATGAGAAGAGACAGACGCCACACACACTCGGGCATACCTGCATGTGTTCCAAACCTGCTCCATCCACGAATACCTCAACGAAACCTGCGACACAAACACACAAAGACACAGGTACCGACAGACAAACCGCTTCTGATTCCTCGAAGTTGGCCGTTCTCGGCATCGGTCTCTTCTGCGTCGGTCTGGTTGTCCTCAAAAACACGGATCCTGCAAAGCTCATGATGCAAACGAGTGCAGGTCTGTGTACCGCATATGCATGTCCGTGCGTACCCTCCTGCTGCCGCCTGGGTCGCCTCGGCCGCAACCCCCGCTGACAGCTCGCCATCAGCTCTGCACACCAAGAGGGATGAACCACATGTGTGTGCAAGCTGGTTTGCTGTCGTGCATCCCCGACCGCAGGTTGTGTGACATTCTGACCTCGGACCGTTCGCCACATCGACTTGGCAGCCAAAGGGCCAAATACCTCTCGTGACATGTAGAATGGCACTCCGGTCGGATTCACGCTGACGGGACAGAGCACACAGAGACAATGGTCTCAACCCTCTCCGTGCATGAGTGGGTGCGGTGCTTTCCTCGGAGAGAGCATATTTGGACAGACAGACACTCCATCCACTCACCTTTTGTGGGGTGAAGAACTGCACCAGTTCGAAGTCCACCAGCTGTGGGCGGTCGTGCGCATCAAACACAATGTTGGCGCGTAGGCCTCACAACACACTCTCCACCTGGACGCAACACACGAATGACCACACATACAGGATAGGGATGAGCGAAGGAATGAACCCCTCCTTCCTTTCCTTTCCTCACAGAGCTGTGCGCTGGCTGGCTCCCGCTATCGAGCTTGGGCTGCATCTGAAGTCAACAACAGCCACAAAAACAGACAAGTGCGTGCCGAGGGTAACGTCGCTCTCTCAGTCGCCATCTTAGTGGCGTTGGGGTCCATGTCGGATGAGGGCGAGGGCGAGATCCTTTTTGGGCTTCGACGTCTGAAAAGCAACACGGAATCGTGACCAAACGGAAGGCCCACGGCCCCAACTACCAGGCCCCACGTAAACTTACTGCAGGGAATGAAGAGAGGCGAAGGGGAGGAGGCAGTGAAGCTGAAATGGAAGCGGTTTGGAGCGATTAACAGATAGATACACAAAACGGTTTGTCGCGCGTCTGTCGAGAGTTTATTTCTCACCGGATTGCCGTTTCGCCTCATTTCTCGTTGATTCAGCGATGCAGGCGGGTCGCGTGGTGATGAGGATTAGTCTGCAGGAAGCCAGAGACAGAACAGAACGGTTTTGTCGGATGAAGAAGCCAGGACGCCACACTTCTCTCTCTCTCTCTCTCTCCGTCAGATATGACCTCATATGCATAAGACCTCAGTATTCGGAGGGTTGACGGCTTCAATGAGGTCTCGCGAGAGATGAGTAGCCTACAACAATCCAGCAGGGACAGAACAGAACGTTTTTGCCGATACCGTACGGGACGCCGCTAAACGCCACGCTTCCTCTCTCTCTCTCTGCGATAAGACCTCAGTATTCGGGGGGTTGACGGCTTCACCGCAGGGAAGACCAGCACGGCAAGGAGTCCAACAGCGTGAAAACATGTGGGCCGGCGTTGCTGTCTGAAGGAAAAGACAGAGAAGACAACGAACGGAGACAAGAACCTCTTTCTTTTCGTCTCCCGTCTCCAAAAGCGGCGGGAGGAAGCGGCGGGCAACCTACCAAGGCAAAGCGCTTGCCTGACTGTCTTTTACGACCAAACATCTGCTCCCAATCCTCATTTTATTCGACATCGGCGGGGAGCGGGATGTCTTGAAATCTGAAAAAGACGACAACATTGAAAATTCCATGTCGGATACCATGGGGAGACACCATTTGCAAGGGCGTGCAGGTGGCTTACACCCTACACAGCGCATACACATGTCAGCGCACTCGCACTCATCGACTCGACCACTCATCTACTCACCTGCCACTGAGAGGTGGTTGGCCGACTGACCAACGAAAGAGCGCCTCTCGCACGAGCGTGCCGACACCAGCGGGGCACTGCCACCCGCCGCTGGTAAGCCGGGGGAGGAGGACGGCTGCCGACGAGGGCGCCAGTGGCGAGTGGTCACGAGGGAACGGACGGCCAAGGAGGGGCGTGGCAGGCCGAGGCGGGGCGAATGCGGCGGGGCACTGAGGAAGGCGACACAAACCGAACACAAAGGAAGGGAGCGGTGAGCGGGAGAGGGCAACGAGGCTGGAATCGAAGCGAATTGGAGCTGGGATAAAAGATTTCTGTCGCGCGTCTCCGTCGTCGAGAATTTACATTCTCGCCATCCCTCAAGCTTGCCCCATCTGACCATCCCTCATGACCTCCATATCCTGTACGGAATTGAACGGCATCACCGCAGGGAAGAGCAGCACGGCAAGGGGACCAACAGCCTGGAATCCGGTGGCCGGCGGTGTTGTCTGAATAGAAGGACGAAGAAGACAACAAACCGAGATAAGACCACCTCTTTCTTTTCGTCCCCGTCTCCAAAGGCGGCGGGACAAAGCGACAAGCAGCCTATCGAGAAAAGGTATCTGCCTGAACGTCTCTTACGACCAAACATCTGCTCCAATCCTCATTTTATTCGACATCGGCGGGGAGAGACAGGATGGCTTGAAGTCTGACGAGAAAAGACAACATTCAAAGTTCCATGTCGGATACCATCGGGAGACACCATTTGCAAGGGCGTGCAGGTGGCTTACATCCTACACAACGCATACACATGTCAGCGCACTCGCACTCATCGACTCGACCACTCATCCACTTACCTGTCACTGAGAGGTGGTTGGCCGACTGACCAACAAAAGAGCGCCTCTCGCACAAGCGTGCCGACACCAGCGGGGCATTGCCACCCGTCACTGGCGAGCCGAAAGGAGGAGGGAGACGATCGACGAGGGCACAAGTCACGAGTGGCCACGAGAGAAACGGCGGGTAGGGAGGGCCATGGGAGGCCGAGGCGGGGCGAATGCGGTGGTGCAACGAGGAAGGCGACACAAACCGAACACAAAGGAAGGGAACGGTGAGCGGGAGAAGGCAACGAGGCTGGAATGGAAGCGAATGGAGCTGCGGAATAAAAAAAATTGTCGCGCGTCCCTCGTCGAGAATTTACATTCTCGCCTGCTTCCCCTTCGCCCCCCTCGCCCCCAATTTCGGCCCTCCCCGTCGGCACTGGATGAGGGCCATCCAAAGCTTTGTGCCCCATCGGGGCAAGACATGGCCTGAAATAGGAGCGTACTGCAAGTGGGAGGCGTGGCTGCCCTCTTGTCTGCGGCTCGTCTGCCAGCTTCACATGGAGTTCACGCTCCCGGAGCTGGAAGGTCATTGCAGATAGACGGAGGGGGCACACACATAGAATTGGATGGAATGCCCTTGTGTGTATCCCCGACAGAACAGTACTTCGGTCAGCTGTTGGAGGACTGCCGGTACGGACTGCGCGTGTCTGCGGCGACGCTTGGACCCATAGTGTGCGCAGGAACGGGCTTTGTCTCCCTGCGCGACCTTTTCATCCATGGCGTCTTCACTTGGTGGCTCTATATACGTAAGCCAAGAGGAACAGCGATACACATGAAACGCACATGACAGGAATTGCTCTTCTTGCAATTTGATGCAGAGCTCTGGATCTTTGTCATGGTCGGGGTGTTCTGGGCCTACGTGTACGTGGCAATCTCTCCGGCAAAGCGCAAGACAAGACGGCAACTTCGCTATGATTTGTGGGCAATGATTGTAACGGTGGCCGTGGCGCTGACCGGCACGGCGCTGCATGCGAGATTGTCGTTCAAGACGTTTCATTTTAGCAACGAGTGCGGGGGGATCGATGACGGCCTCTGCGGCCATCTTCGCGAGGCGTCTGCCGAGAGAATCCACTTTCTGTGCGTTGTCACGACTTGGATGACCGTCAGGAACAACACAGGTACGTAAATCCGAGGAGACCCACAAGAGTGCCATGAATGGCCACATAGCGCCTCTTGTGCATCCCCAGGTCTGACTTTCCTCGTCTTTCTCCCGCAGTATGTGACCGTGGTCATCACAGAGCTCTTACATCGGTGGCCGAACTCTCTTGAGCGCATCATCGGATTCACAGGTCGGTCAAATCAAGCTCAAGCAGAGACGCCTCCATTTCTCCCGTTTTGTATGCATTCAGCGTCTTTTCTTTTGCTGCTGCGGATGTCGTCTCAGAGTGAGTTTGTCTTCCGGTCCTTCATCCACAGTAAACTCTTCGAGGCAAAGGAGGCACGCGAGAAAACACCCAATCCAGCCAACAGGATGGACATAAGGTGGCACTGTGGTCTTCACATATCAGTTGGAGAAGGAGCAGAAGCGCACATACGACCTGATGCAGCTGCAACGATCCATCTTCTCCAAAATCACCCATGACCTCAAAACCCCGCTCGAAGGTGTCGTCAACAGCGCCGATTTCATCAAAGAAGAGCTGAAAGACGAAGGTTTCAAGCCTGACCACTCAGGTGATCTTTGCCGCAGCAAGACTCGTGAGTCGTGCAGCAATTATGGTCTCTTCTTTGTGTGTAACAGCCTTCTCCCATTGCGACACCATTGAGGCCGGAAGCCATGTGAGCACTACAGAGACATATGCAGAACGCTCAACAAACCCATCCTCCATGTTTGTGTGTGTATTAATGTCAGTACATGCTGTCGCTGACCAACAACTTGCTCGAAATTAGCCGGATGCAGCACCACAGGCAGTCGCCTCGCCCTCTGCAGAGCCCGTCAGAGCTGCTCTATAGTCGCAGCGACAGCAGGTCGTGTTGGAAAGGAAGACTAGCAAGGACAAGGACAAAGCTGCTTCAAATGCCTTCAACGCCAACACAGCCACTGAACTTCACTCTCATGGAGCTGGCCTGCGATTGGTGCCGATTCCTTGAGCTAATTGAGAATGTTTTGAAGGTAGTTAGCCTTCTACCGAGCATAAAACCTCTCAGCGTCCATGTGTATGTGTGTATCTGTGTGTATCTGTGTGTGTGTGTGCAGATCAATTGGCCTGCGATTCGGATGAAGGGTCTTCAGTTCGATGTGGAGTGGTCGTCGCTGAAGCCGCTCGCCGGCTGGTGGGTATGGGTCGACAAGACACGCTTCACTCAGTGGTGGGTGGCTGGACAGATGTCGCGAACAGATCCTGGTCCATAGTGTCTCCCTTTTCCCTTTCTGCCCTCGCTGCAGCCTGAACAACGTGATCAACAACGCCACCAAGTACACAGACCGTGGCAGCATCCATATATGGCTAGAGTGTGGGGTAGCCGGTCATGGCATCGCCGAGTTGCAAAAGGTACAAGGCACAAGAGGGGACAAGGATGGCACGACCGGATGTGTCTGCTCCCTTTTGCGTCAGTTTCATGAGACTGCACCAAACAACCCTCCATGGCTGCGTGAAAACCCTCGCCACAAGAGTCTCACAGCCAGACCTCCGGAGTCCATCCAAATCGCAATGCCAGTGGACACGGCAGCAGCAACAGTAGCACCTTCAGCAGCAGGGGCAGCATCCATCCCCCCACGTATGCCCTCCACATCATCCCTCCCACGGCAACCGGACAAGAATGCCTCGCACCCACGAGACAGCATCTGCAGCGCCCCCGACCGTCTGGTCACTTCTGGCGTAGAGGCTTACAGAGTGTGTATTGGTGTGAGGGATTCCGGCAAAGGCATCGACAAGGCCAAGCTGTCCGCTATCTTCGACGACTTCGCGCAGGCGAGGTCAATGGACAGTCTGCTGGGACAAGGACTCGGTACGCAAAGAGGGGGCTGAGCTGCGAAGCCACTCACACTGGATCACACGAGTGATGTTGATCAGGGCTGGGCATCTCTCGGGCCATCCTGCTCAATATGGGGGGCGACTGCATCCTCGAGAGTGAGCACTGACCGAAGCATCACATGTCTCCGCTCCTCACTTGTTTCTCTGTGACTTATGTGAAGGCGAGAACAGGGGAACGACAGCCAAGCTACGCTTCCTTGTCTATGGGGCCCACGATCCCACCGCAGCCCCAGCCAGCTTCGCCCCATTCCTCCCCGTGTCTCCCATGCCCTCGAGCAGAGCACCCTCGTCACGGCCGAGTGTCAGCTGTGAGAAGGACAGGGCCAAGGGCACCGTGAGCGGCCCCTTGCAGGATGTCTTCAGCGACATGCTGGAGAGGGGCGTGGTGTTCATCGTGGTAAGAATGAGGACACTGCACTGGCGGAAGCACAACGAGACAGGGGACGTATTTTTCTCCTTTTTGTCTTGTTCTTCAATATATGCAGTGCGATGACGACTACATCAAGCGGTACGCCCGCCACTGCATGTATTCGCCCCCGACATGATTTGAAGCTCGCCCCCTTACTTGCACAGGTTGGCGCTTTCCCGCGTTTTTGTGAAGCTGGGTCTGCCAGCGTCTCAGCTCGTGGTGCTCGAGAACGGGCAGCAGCTGCTCGAAAAAGTCGCGTCGCTCGGCCATTCCGCAGAGGCGGGGGTGCTATGGGTGTTGAGCGACCTGCAGATGCCCAACGTCAACGGATATGAGGCTGCAGAGATGATGCGGGAATGGCAGAGGGAGGGGAGAGTGGCGCTGCCGATTCACCTGATCTTGTGCACGGCACAGGCCAAAGTGGTCCGTCAGGGAGGGCATGTGTGTGTGTGTGTTTCAACTGTGTGTTGTGTGGTGTGTGCAGATGTTGAAGGCGGAATACCCCGCTGTTGAGGAAATGTTTGATGAAATCATTGAGAAGCCTGTCACGCGGGACACCGTCATCAGGCTCATCACCGAATTTAGAGACACACTGCCGTCAACTGGCCAGCAGCCGCACCGTAGTGTCACTTCCTTGTAGCCAATGGAGAGTGCGAAAATGGGTGCTTTTCGACTAATCCTCATGTTGGCTGGGGCCAGCCATATGGCGCAGCTGTAGGGACCGCTGTATGGTATGAGCGTCGCATGTGTGTACGTGTGTACGCCTACTCGCCACTTTGTTCGCCAACACTGACTGCCCTGTGCTGCAGGCATGTGTGTGGTGGCTTTATTGAAGGCCAAAGTGCATGACCGAGAGAGAGAGAAGCGGCAGAATGAAAATACATTCACACAAATGTCCATCCATCCATCCATCCATTGTCTGACGTCTGTCGTCATCAGAAGCACGGCAGACAGTGACACACCAGCACCCACAGAGGGAGAGGGAGAAAGAGAGGGAGACAGGCTCGGGATGGCCGAATAAGTACATACACCAAACCCCACCGCCAGCGAGGGCTTTTCGTCACACGTCGTCAATCAGCTCTCCATAGTCGAGCCCACCACTCCCTCCGCCGCGCAGGCCGTCCTCATCCAGCCCCAAGCCGCCGGCTGCCGAGAACTCCGACGCGCTGCCCATCTGCCGCCTCAGATAGTTCTCATTCAGCGACAACTGCACACACCACACCCACAACACGTCCGTCAACTCAACGTAGGTATGTGGTTCGGTGTGCTGTGCTGTGCTGATCTGTGTACTTATGTCGTTTTCGTATTTCTTGAGCTGCCTGGCGATGGCGAGCATCTGGGTGATCTGCCTGTCGAGGTCAGCGGCCGTGCGGACGCTCTCATCCGCACCACCAGACGGACCGGCCGCAGACGCCTCCTGCCAGCCAGCCACACCCACGACACACAACACGGATGCGCCAGTGGTGCTGTGTGCCATCTGAGATACCTCGTGTTGGTCTCCGTCATCGGTGAAGACCACGTGGTTGCTCTCATGGTCAATCTGGGCACACAACTGGCCCTGTGTGTGTGGCCACACACACACACACGCAGTCAGACAGACAAACATTGAGGTTACTGTGAATGAGGGCGTCCCGTACTCACTCACTCACCCGAGTGATCATGTCGAATAGGAGGCTCTCGGTCTCGGCGATCGACCCGATGTGCGCCTTTGTCCGGATGTCCTCCAGCGACAGCGTCAGGTAGGTCGACGTCAGCTGCAGCACTAGCCGACGCTGCAAGGCCTGCACACCTCCACACACAACAGATGAGATGCCTCCATCTCTGTACCCTTCCATATGTGAGTGTGTGTGTTTATGTACCGGAAGGCACTGTTTGGCGAGTCCCAGGTTTTGGTCTCTGTTGAATGCGTCGGCGGCCTCGGGGGCGGACAGCAGGGTGCGCAGCTTGGACATATCTCGCTGCCGGAAGCACTCCGTCAGCTCGTAGTAGGCCGTGCCGATGGAAGCAGCCATGCTCCGGTGCTGCAGCACGCACACGAGAGAGAGCCTGACAGACAGACAGACAGACCACAAGAAGGACGCTATTCGTCAAGGTAGGTGTACTTACTGTGTGCAGGAAAGGTGCACCCACACAGAAGCTGAGCGGCTGTGTGTGAGATGACTTGACTTTGGCTGATCAGATCTTACCAAGCATCTGGCGGATGGGCGTGTGTGTGGGTCGCGCGGCTTCTGATGGAAAGCTAGTTGGGGTAGCCACCCTGGGAGAGTGCTTTGTAGAACACATGGGGGTCTCTCCAAAGAGCAACCATATCTCCACTAGGATGGTACAAAAAGTGTGCTAGAACGCATCACAGGATGGCCTGGTCGTTGAGAATGAGCAGCATCTTCCTGAAGACAGGCAGACACAAACAGAGAGAGATCTCAGCTGGGGAGCCTTCTGGCTGCTTCTCGCTTCGTGTGTGGCCTCTCTTTCTGAGCCCCTCTCTCCTGCCTTTGGCCGGTGCAGCCTGCAAACCCTACACCCTAAACCCTAATACTCTGCCTTTGAAGGCTTTTTCCCATTGCAGGGGGGCGGAGCGGCGGCCGACGTGCTCAGCTAAACCCTAATTATGCGCAGGGGTTGCGAAATTGGTGAATGCGCGTGTGCAGCAGCGCGTGGCAGACTGACAGACACACCCACACACAGGCTCATGTCCACAGGGGTCCACGCGTAGAGAGGGAGGGGGGGAGGGAGGCCTGTGTGTGCAGTGCAGTGTGTGTGTGTGTGTGTGTGTGGGCGTGTGTGTGTGTGGGCGTGTGTGTGTGGGCGTGTGTGTGTGTGGGTCAGTCAGGGTGCAGTGTGCATGGGATGGCACACACGCAGGCACCCACACAACCGCGGACATCTTGCAGGCGTCCAGAAATCTCACGTACATTCCGTTCAGTCAGATAAAGCGCATGCACGACACGCCACCACACTGCGGGACAGGTGTGCCGTCTGACCATATGTCCGACACCAAACACTGCTCGCTCGGGCGGCTACAGACACGAACGCTCTTACACTCCGATCAACGCATCGTCAAAAACAGCTCACTGTCCCGCATTCACTCAAAGAAAGAGAGCAGACACTGAGGACGGTAGCTAAGCAGGCAGGCAGACAGACTCCGCCCGCACATCACTCAGACGGCCGCAGGATCCATTTGTTGGTCACCAAATAGTCCATCACCTACGTGCGCACAATGCATCGCCCGGCTCGTGTGTGTGCAGTATTGAGGGGCCCCTCTCTTGTCTGACCTGCTGCACGTGGTTCGACACATCTTCTG